ATGAACCAGAGGTGTCTTCCACAAAAAGAGTAAAAACCCAGAAAAACAACCGAAGGGTGTCTAATACATTTTTTCTGTCACTTTTTAGTGTCAGACACCCTTTGGAAAGTTTCTGGTTTTTGTTAAAAGTGGTCTGGAGACACCCAAACCCAACTACAATTCTTTAGATTGAGAAACAGACCACATAGCGACCAAAACAAGAAGTGACAACAGCAACAGCAAAAATGATTAGACGTCTTGCCTTTGACCTATCGAACCTCTTGCCTTGGATGAGCACGTTTTGCCTTGGACCTGTTGTTCTTTGAAGCTGTTGCCTTGGACCTGTTTCTCTTTGTCGTACGATGGTAGAGGTTAAGATTTTCGGCTTAAGGGTCTAGGCCTTTGGTGTTGAGGCCTGAAGTTTTCAAGATTAAGGGCTCAGGCTTTTCTTGTTGTTTAAGCCTTAGGGTTTAGGTTAAAGGTCTTAGGGTGTTGCTGCTTCAGTCTTCAGATTTTCGTGAAGGCTTAAGATATTGGTGCTCAAACCTTGACGTTTTTCCGGTTAGGGGTTCGTGGCTTGGTGCCTAAGTTCTAACAATTCAGGGTGCAGGGCTTGGGTCTTGGTCTTTCGGCCGTTTCAATCACAGGGGGGATGCGAGATAGAGGATTGGTAAGATTTTCGGATCAACAGCCTAAAATTCAGCTTAAGATTTTGGTGTTTAAATCTTAAGGTTTTGGGCTTTAGGGCTCAGGAATTTGGTGTTGAAATCCTATACTTTTAAGTTTCAGGGTGTAGGGCTTTGGTGCTTGGACCTTATTTAAGGTTGCAGGGTTAAGAGCTTAATGGTTTGGGTGCCTAAATCCTTAAGGTTTTAAGGTTAAGGGCTTAATGATTTGGTTGTTTTGGTGCTTCAGTCTTGAGATTGGTAAGGGTGCTTCAGCTTTAAGGTTTTAGGTTTAAGTGCTTCTGGTTTTGGTGCTTGGGTCTTGAGATTTTTAGGGTTAAGGGCTGAAGTCTTTGGTGCTCAAGCCATACGATTCTAGGGTTAAGGTTGTGTTTCGTGTCTAAGCCGCAAGGTTTTTGAACTCTGGGCTTAGGGCTTTGGAAGGTAAGTCTTGAATTCTTACGATTGTCGGGTTAAGAGCTTAGGGTTTGGGTGTCTATGTCTTAAGATTTTAGGGTTTAAGGGTTTGGGCCTTTGGTGAAGGATTCTGCAACCCAGTTTGGGGTCCATGAAGGATTCTGCGACCCAGTTTGGGGTCGTAGAATCCTTCATGAAGAATTCTGAAACCCAGTTTGGAGTCATAGAATCCTTCATCAGTTTGGGGCCATAGAATCCTTGCCTCTTGCCTCTTGCCTCTTGCCTCTTGCCTCTTCGTGTTTAACCCTTAAGATTTCGAGCTCAGGGCTTAGGGTTCTGGTATTTGAGTCGTGAGTTCTTACGATTGTGGGGTTAAGAGCTTAGGGCTCGGGTGTCTATATCTTAAAATCTTTTGGCTTAAGATTCTAAGTTTAAGGGCTTCTGGTTTTGGTGCTTAGGTCTTGAGATTTTTAGGGTTAAGGGCTGAAGTTTCTGGTACGACTCTGGGTGAAAGTCTTTGTGTTTCGTGTTTAACCCCTAAGATTTCGAGCTGAGGGCTTAGAGGTTTTGGTTTTTAAGATTTCGAGCTAAGGGCTTAAGGTTTTAGTTTTTAAGTCGTTAGTTCTTACGACTGTAGGGTTAAGAGCTTAGGGCTCGGGTGCCTATATCTTAAGATCTTCGGATTAAGGGTCTAGGCCTTTGGTGCTTAGGCCTGAACATGTTAAGAGCAAGGGGGCTCAGGGTTTTAAGCCTTGGGCTTCGGGCTTGACGAGCTGAAGATATTGGTGTTCTATTCTTCAGATATTTCGGGCTAAGGGTTCGTGGTGTGGTGCCTAAGTTCTTCTAGTTCTTTTACTTCAGGGCTCAGGGCTTGGGTCTTGGTGTTTTGGTCTTTTAGATCACTGGGATGCGAGCTTAGGGAATTGGTGCTGGGCCTTAAGACTTTCGGATTCACAGCTGAAGATTTTGGTGTTTAGATTTTAAGTTTTTGATATTGGTGTTCTAATCTTAACATTTTTCGGGTTAAGGGTTCGTGGTTTGGTGCTTAAGTTGTTTTAGTTTTTTTAGTTCAGGGCTCAGGGCTTTGGGTCTTGGTGTGTAGGCCTTTAGATCACAGGGGGATGCGGGCTTAGGGAATTGGTGCTCGGCCTGAAGATTCTCGGGTTCACAGCTTAAGTTTTTGGTGTTTAACTCATGAGGTTTGGGGCTTTAGGGCTTAGAAATATGGTGTTGAAATCCTATAGTTTTAGGGTTAAGGGTTTAGGGCTTTGGTGTTTGGGCCCTATTCAAGGTTTTAGGGTTGAGGGCCTAATGAGTTAGGGTGCCTCCTGTTGTTTTGGTGCTTCAGTTTTAAGATTTCTTCATGGTGTGGGTGCTTGAGCTTAAGACTTTAAGTTTAAGGGCTTCTGGTTTTGGTGCTTAGGTCTTGAGATTTTTAGGGTTAAGGGCTGAAGCTTTTGGTACGACTCCAGGGTTAAAGTCTTCGTGTTTCGTGTCTAAGCCTTAAGATTTCGAGCTTAAGGGCTTAGGGCTTAAGATTTCGAGCTAAAGTCTTAGTAGGGTTTTGGTATTTAAGTGACTAATTCTTACGATTGTAGTGTTAAGGGCTTTGGGTTCGGTTGTTTATATCTTAAGATCTTAGGGTTAAGGGTCTAGGCCTTTGGTGCTTAGGCCTGAATATTTTAAGAGTAAGGGCTCAGGGTTTCGTTGTTTAGGCCTTGGGCTTCGGGTTTGAGGAGCTGAAGATATTGGTGATCTTAACATCTTTCAGGTTGACTGGCTCATTTCGTTTTGGTGCTTCAATCTTTTGGTTTCAGGATTTCGGGCTTCATGGTGTGGGGGCTTGAGCTTAAGACTTTAAGTTTAAGGGCTTCTGGTTTTGGTGCTTCGGTCTTGAGATCTTTAGGGTTTAGGGCTGAAGTTTTCGGTACGACTCTGGGTTAACCCTTAAGATTTCGAGCTCAGGGCTTAGGGTTTTGGTATTTGAGTCGTTAGTTCTTACGATTGCAGGGTTAAGAGCTTAGGGCTCGGGTGTCTTTTTCTTAAGAACTTCAGGCTAAGGGTCTTGGTCTGTGTTGCTTAGGCCTGAATATGTTAAGAGTAAGGGAACTCAGGGTTTCGTCGTTTAGGCCTTGGGCTTCAGGCTTGACGAGCTGAAGATATTGGTGTTCTATTCTTAAGATATTTCGGGTTAAGGATTCGTGGTGTGGTGCCTATATAAGTTCTTTTTGTTCGTTTACT